TTCTCGGTCTTGCTGTGATAAACTGAAGATATTATTCCCTATATTTGCTTCATAAACATACGTTCCGATATAGTCAGGACAATAACATCCGGGGCATCGTTCCGGATTACTTCTTTTTTTCCAGGTGAGGGTTGTGTCCCCAGCCCTCAAAGTGAAGGTTAACAGAGTACGTGGCTCTATGTATCGAGGGTATGGACCAAAATTGGTGTGGGGATGTGCAATAGGGAGTTGGGACCATGTATGAAAATTTATGAAAAAATTATGTGAAATGAAGGCGTGGCAAACTTCTTTTGTGGACAGCCATCTGAGATGGCTGTGAAAAGAAAAAGTCTTATATTTCTCTTCCTTTGCATAAATTTTTCACAAATTCAGCACAGCTTTGCTCTACATCAAAAACCCTAGAACTGAGTCATTGAACCTTTCCAAATCCCCTCCTCCTCGCCTAACTATATGACGGTGACAAGCCTGCTCCAAGCGCGCAATGTTGCGCGCCATGGCGCCAATTTGGAGAATATCAACCATTTTAATTCTTTTTGTCTATGCAGTGTTGTTTTTATGTTTCAATGATTTTTTATTCGTGTTTGATCCATTCGTGATCGCGTCATAGGACGTCGTATTTTTGTGGCACTTCGTTGTTGAAAAGATGAAAAGCCACCTCATGCCAAGTCCTGATGGAATACCAATAAAAATCAATGAATTTCCGCATAAAAACCCTTCTTCTTTTGTCAAGCAAACAATTCTTATGGCATTCGTTTGAGAGTCGGTCGTACTTTGCAATAAGCCTAGTCTTGACATTAGATCGGATCGAACTACAGATTGACTTCGAACCATCCTTAATTTCCCTCCAAGTCTGACTAGGCAAGAGACGTTCACAAGCCTTTTCTTTACAATCACATTTCAATAGGGTGGAGTACAATTAGAGTAACTAGAGTAATTAGAGTAGTAAGTATTAATTAGAGTACAAAGCTCCAGTGCCTATCACCGCCCCGAACATCTCTCATTATGCAATGAAAAAACGGGAAGGGTCACGGTTGTTGGAAACCCTTCTTCTAGAATTTTACTACATTTGTGATTATCAGTCGAAGTTCGGATGTGTGAGACGCCGATCGTCATAGCCAAATTGGCATTTAAATATGCTAAAAGCAAGGTTTTGACGTTTTCTATTATTAAGCATATTTTTATTTTATCGAACTTCTAGCAAAATAGATGGAAGGATTACCGCGTTGAAAAGCTTTGAAAGAATGGTCCTTTCATTACTTTAGCACCATCTCAATTGTAAGTGAAATTTGAAAGAGTTCAATAAAACTAGAAGGTGAAAACTTATCTCATTAACGTTTACTCTATCCTGTTATCCTTTAATAACCTACTTACCTTTCAAAATCAAAACTAAATTTACGAAACTTACAAAATGTCGCCCATCAGCATTGTGCGAATCATCGTAGTAACATTCCAGTTCAAAATCATCCACCAGCTGAGATTAGCAGCGGGCAGGGGGCTGATAGAGGTTTTCGTCTTCGTTATTTTGCTTCTTGGTACCATGGTGACAATTAGCAGCGGCGCAATAAATGAAAAATATGAAAAGACTTTACGAGGAGGTAATTTATGTTCTCAAAAAGACATCAAGTCTCTTCTGGGAGGTGGTGAAAGAGGAAAAAAGGAATTTTCCGATCTATTATATCATCATATCGGACAACAATTCATTAGTCATTTTTTATTCGAAGAAGATGAGCTCAATTGTCTGCAAATGTAAAAATTCTACTGTTTCTCATTGAAATATCGCTATAAAAAAACTTATTTAAATTTTTGATACGATAGCAGATAATCTCACCTTGATTTAACTGGATTGGCTGCTGGAAGGCTGGGCTTTGTAACCTAATTAAGGTCACTCGCGCAAGTTTCTCTCTCGCGCGCGCTCTCTGATCATTCCCTAGCCTTAGCTAGGTCACAAAGCCCCGCCTTTTAGCCGCCAATTCAGTTGAATTAAAGAATAGTAATGGATGAGCTCTGGCTGTTGTTGGGGGAACAAAATAAATTCTTCTACTCGAAAAAAAGGACGACACATTGTTTTTACGATATCCTTCAAAAAAAAACTCTAGAACAGTTACCGTACAGAATTGTATGATAAAAGAGCTCAGCATTGCATTGCTTTTTCGTTATCAACTTGTCTGTACCAGTGCTTTTTGTCTAAACTCTTTCAAAGCCTGAGTTTAGAATAAGTTTTCCGTTTTCCTGAGATGCAGTTTTGCTTCACATGAATTCCTCAAATCAACGCTGTGTCCGGCTTCTATCCGCTCCGAGACTCTAACAAATTATTTACCTTCACCCAGCATAACTTCCATTATCAAGTTTATTTATTCTTTCAAGCTTTAGTGCTGCTTAGGTTATTGTTTTTAGAACTAACCTTTAATTAGCACTAGATGATGTTTTTCTTATAGCGCTTTCATTCCTCATTATCTAATTAGCACAAGTGCTTCTTTCATAGTTTTATTTAGAGGCCTAGCTTATTAAAACTGGGCTCAGGCCGATGGTAATTGTTGTACGAAAACATCAATTTCCAGTGACAGGTGAACTTGATAATTGAGGCTTTCAGCTTCCGCTAACTTCACTAAATCTCACTTGCGAATCCCAAACGTGTCTTTTTCAAGAGGACAGACTGTAGAAGGGACTAGAATTTGGTTCACATATCGTGAAAGATACCACTCAATCAAGTCATTTATATGATCAAAAAAATGAAATCAGATTTATTGAAAATAGTTTTTTGTAGATAGGCAGCACTGAGCTTCTTATTCTTAGGTGAATAACTTGTCTTATTAACAAGGAAAGAAGATAAACATATTTGAGATCAGGATCACAAAGAACATTTTCCACTCTATCAAGTCCCTTTTCGAAAGCAAAGACGATGTGCTTCAATAATTAAGGATCTGGTAAGAAAAGACTAAGGGGGAATGTGCCATAAATTCTGTTTTTTGAGCCGCATCGGAGAGATTTTTTTCCTTGGCAGAAGTTGTTTTTAAGACATTTCAAATCGATTCTTTTTTTTTGTGAAGACATAGCGAACGTTTCAAAAAAAGTTTTTATCGAAAGCATAAATATAGAAAATTCAATGAATGGACTCTTTATTTTAAAGGCGAAGAATGGTGAAGAAAGCTAACTATTCACCTTTTTTTCGCAATGCCACAAGGCTGGAACTTTTCTGATACAAAATATGCCTTCTGATCGTTCTGAGTTATGCTAAAGGTTCAAACTCAATCTTGTGCACTTTCCACATATCCTTGAAAATGGCTGATGCCAACCTGTCGATGGTGGAACACCTAGCGTTGTTTTCTTCACACATTTTGCCTAACCAGCAATAGTGGTCTTAAGGGCCAGGCATACTTCACGCGATTTCAGTCGCGACGCGACTTGGCAGCATTCCAACTGTCCATAACTCATTGTAAGCACGTTTTGAACGTACAGAAGGTAGGGCATTTTATCAATCCACGTCAATCATACACACTATGCATGTGTAGTTTGCTAGTGTTGGACTGAAGACTTCTGGCGAATTGCCAAGTCGCGTCGCGACTGAAATCGCGTGAAGTATGCCCGGCCCTTTACCGTTAGTTATTTTGAAGGGAGAGGGAGGGGGAAGCAATGGTTGTTTTTCCGAATGATTGGTCGTGCCTAATGCTGCGCTCTCCGAAAAGAGTGTCGTGTTTTTTTCCAAAATTTTAATGACCTAAACCCCAGAATCTCTAAAAAATTGATCTCGCTATAATTATGCACCCAGAAAAAAAATCCTTTACAAGATCATTTAGAAGCGAGAAAGAGTCAATTTTGCAATTTTATAAGCCATTCAATCTACTCTCTGATATTTCCTGTCCCATACTCAAGGCGGGGGTGGGGGGGGGGGGGGGGGGTAAAGTCAACCAGTAAACCTCATTATTGCATTAGCATCAGCATCGTCTTGAGTAAAAAATTTGTGGAATTACCGTTACAGCGTAGATTAATATTGTAGAACTCCCAAAAGCAGCTCAAAGTTCATACTGGAAAAAGAAACATCCGAGAAAGAATTTATTTACGAGTAAGAGCAACGTGAAAGTAGTAAAAAGTACCAAGTTAAGATCAAAAACGAAGTTTAGAGCACCGTTTTGAGAACCCAGAAAAGGATACCCCAAAACAAAAAAACAGAGAAACAACACGAAAATATGACATTATCAAAAATGACACTTCTACGAAGCTATATGACAATAATGGCAATGACACACAGTTTCGTATGACAATGGCATGTAGCCAAGAAAAATGACAACATTATAATGACAGCAAATTATGACAAATATGCAAATAAAATGACAATTAATGGATTATGTACACGCATATGACAACTTCTGCGAGAAGGGTAGCGATCGATCGATTACTGATCGGATTATGGTCAAACACATTATGACCATCGAAAATGCATTGAGATAATTATGATTTTGTACAGGAAGAAGTGGTGCAAAAATTCCAGACACACTGCTTGCTAGCTTATTTTTTTTAATAATAATAAAGGTTAGGAGTAGCTTGAAAAATGTGCTCCATTCCTAGCCAGCCGCGCGCGAGACGCGTTGCACCGCTCTCCTCTAACAGACTACCAATATAATGCAATACTGCGGATTTCTGCGATTGCAGACATGGAAAATGAGAAATTAACGAATTAACTGCGAAATACTGAGAATATAAGAGAATCGAACCTGAAGATAATTTCAATACATTATAAAAGTTACGAAACTAATTGAGTAGTTCGTAAGCGCCAAAACATGAGCATTTTGACTGAGCAGGTAATGTTCGGTTTAATGAAAAAAATTTTTTGAAAAGAGTTGAAAGAGAAAGGTGACAGTCACTTGATTTTACCGCTTAAACTCCAACAGAGAATTAGATTGCAATCGAGAAGAAATCAAATGAAACAGGACATTACATCCCGTATTCTCCGCCTGAATGGGACATCGGGCACAAATCATTCTTTTCCTCAAATTAAAAATTGAGGCAGATGTTCGCGCAGGCGGAGTTTGTGGGGGTGGACTGTCCCTTTTCTAGAGCGAAGATAAAAAGTACATGCATTCACATGCTTTATGACACCTACTGCGTAGGGATTTGAAGAGGACGTGTAGGATGGAGGGAAGGAAAAAATCATCCAGCTTAATTTAGACCATCCCATCTAATAAGTATACGAACAATGCAAAAGCAGGTAAGTAATAAAGAATTGAAATTAAGACAAGACCTGTCTAGGAGTAGGAGAAAAAGGGGAAGTATTTTGGCATGCTGATAGATTTAGAACATGCGAAATATGATAGAATATTGGCGAAAATGCTGGAAACTCTGCTATTCCTCCAGATCAGGACCTATATACAGGACATTTTTCTCTAGACGGCTTGAGAGGTCACATACTGCCAAATATGGAAAGACGTCAGCGCTGCTGTTTCGGGTTCGCAGAAATGACTGACATCTTCGAAAACACTGAAAATTGTTTATCGTAATGCATATTGTCAAAAAATTCCACTAAGACAAGGACTAGAATCTTTCCCCTTAGACTCTGCAAAATCTGTTTCAATTTTTATGGCACGTGATCAACCGTAAGATATCTCTCACTGTAGTGACAGTATTGTTACGGTAAGGCTTACGGTAGGAAGCTTAACTGGTTGTTTTGCCTATATCGTCATCATTTCCATAGCCAAGCGATGACTGAACTTTTGTTGAATTATTGTGAGTATTTTAGGCTTCACAGATTTTATCTTGATATCCAAGACTTGAGAAAACCCACTTTGTAATCCTCATTGTCTGCTCGGCAAGATTTAATGGTCCGAAGCGTATCAACTGATCTCAACGACGGTGTACGAAGTGCGCGGACACAAGTCTCAACGCACGTTCCTCCTGGATCGAGCAATTCATTTGCGAAAACTTGGCAGCATTCAGCATCTATAACAATCAAGATGTTCAAAGTGAAGACCTCTTTGTGTAACTGCACCTTTTTTACTGTGTCGTCGGAGTATGGGTTTTTTGCTTTGCGCTGTTTTTTTTGTTCTAAGTCATCAAATAAATTTTTTCACAACGCTACCTGCAATTTGCGGGAGTGCGGACTTTCAAACGATTAAATCTGGATCAACGGTATATGGGAAACACTAATCCTAGCTATTTTTCCACTGTCGATCTTTACACGTAGAAATTTGGACGTTGATAGGAAAAAAGTTGTGCTTTTCTATAAAGATATAGAGATAAATTCACGAGAATTTTACATTTGCAATTTTTTGCGTTTTTTGTGCTGAGCATGCGCAATCGTAGAAAATTTCATTTTGCGTTTCTACTGCTTTAAGAAGCTGAACACAGTAATCAAAATAAACTCTTCGAAAAAAATAACGCAAGGTCCAAAAGCTGTTATGTTCACTGTCCCAAGGGCATAATAAGTGCTCCTACTTGTCTTTGATTGCCATTAAGTTTACTGTATCCGAGGCTATGCCGCAGGCAACACTCATGTAGATCAAAAGCGAAACGATATATTGAACAGCTGCAACAGTCATAGAGACTTCTCGAAAGAGTGATATTCTATGTTTCACAGGGTAATCAAAACAATGAAACAGGTGATCTTCTAGAATAAAATGCTAAAATCTAGTATTGTAGAAAATTGGAAGCGTCCTAATCAAATTTTTCTTCCAATCGGAAAGTAAAATTTTGAAATTTTTGCAAAATTTATGTCTTTTCGTTTTGAAACCTATTATCAAGATGCATACTTACCTTGGATTCTCGCCAGCTCCAAGCTTCTCGCTCCAAACATTTCCTTTTGTATGCAATCAGATAATGCGACCAGTGCTTCTAAAGTCATTGAACAATTTAGCGGTTGCCTAAAATCTCAGATTTTCAGGGATTCAAAATAAGATTGCCAAGCTTTTACCTGTTCTTGATAGCCTGCTCACAGCAAGTTTCCCTTTCTGCTGAGCAGCAGCGGCCAGCTATCTGTCGGAAATTGAATTTGACGTCTGCCAGATTTTGTGATTGTCAAGAGTTTGTTAACATTTAGAAATCAACATACCTGCGACAGCATTAGGCACAAAAGATGCTATGAGGGCTATACAAATGATTGTGTGGACCGGTAGTCTGTAGGTCATAGCCCCGAGCAATCCTATAATGATACTGTGTCATTAGAAATCCTAAGCAGCTTCCAAACAACTAGTTTTGATTCTGTAATTTTTCGCGAAGATCCCACCAATCGAAAACCATTCGAGGCCGACTATTAGTGAGATCGTGCGCAAAAACCTATTATTTTGCCCAAAAAACAAAAGCTAATCATTCCATATCGTAGAACTACCCTCATCAGCGAACGAAGAAATTTTGTAACTTTGATTTGATTGATGATTATTATTATCGAATCGAAAAGGAATTTTTTTATTATAAGCTACTGTAAACGAAGGAGACGAGTAATCAAGCAACTGCCCGAGCCGCCGTTGCGTAGATCAAGCGACCCTCAATTATTTTTTGATTGCTCAGAACTATGCCTGAGGCGAATAGATCAAATTATTGAATGACGGCACGGCTATATTTTGGCAGGTGGGACAAATCTGAGAATTGCTGATATCTCTTACGCCTCAAAATGGGATCTATCCCAAAATAGACTTCGTATATGATAGATAAAAAATCCATTTTCCTTTAAATTGGGACAAGTGGAAGTAAAATCTAGTTGATAAATATTTTAACAGTTCCGTCGAAAATGTAACACAGAAAAAATGTCACAGAACTGCCTAGACTAAATTCAATAAGACGGAATAGATAAAACTATTTATCTATTTTTTTTTGTGTGAGCCTGCCTGTATTGCTTGTAGATGTATAAATCGCAAAGTCAGTAAACAGCTGAACAAAACGACAGATCACGAACAATAAGTCAACGTTTCAAAAAGTAAATATATTAGGTTGTCCCGAAAGTTTTGTCGGTTTTTTCCATCGCTCACTAAAACCTACAGAACAATAATTCAAGGAAGGTCTAGGTATCATTTGATTCAGATTTTCATCCTCTTTCTTACAGCTATGTTTGTTCTCTGATCTAACCTGTCTTCGCAATGTTATCGCCATGACTTTTTGAGCAGCTCAGCAGTAACGGCAAATCTTTTCTGAATTTTAAAAAATTTCCTTCTAGTACTTCCAAAAAGCGCTAATAACTGTTATATAGAGCCATTCTTCGGCTACATCATACTTATTTTAGATTACATGGCTCACGTTTATCAAGTCCTAAATAATTATTTATTTAAGAAAAACCACGGCTTTTTTATTACGTCTACCACGTAAAATTACCAAAAATTCCAAAAAGCTGATTTCTCGAAGCAAACTAAACTTGGAATTGTTGCATAATTATTGTTTGTCAGCAATCAAGTTTCAGTTCGCAAAAATTCCGAAAGCTTTCATGTTTTTGCCGCAGTTACGTTTTCCATGGTTTTGTCAGAAATCGAGACCTCCGAAAAAAATAATTCTCCAAAGCTAGAAACAGCAATTTAGGAGAATCTAAAAATATTACCGTACAGCCCGAGAATTAATCTATTTGTGCCATGCTTAGTCCTTTTCAAAACTTTGGAATGAAATTTTTAAAAATTAGCCTAACTTTGAGCAGTTAAAAATGACGAGTGAAGATTTGTGGCAATTATCAAAATAACCATACAGGATCTTGGCTCTTAATTATAACCTTAAGAATAAGAAGGAAAAGCTGCATCGAATGTATGTTGAAACTCATTCAGGTCTTCATTGTGCGTGGTTTTATAGCGGTTTGAAAAAACCGACAAAACTTTCGGGGCAACCTAATAGTACATAATTTTTACAAAAAAAAAACCCGAAATATCACTAGCAGTATTTCCTGCCACAGACAATGAATTCCATACAGTCTTGGAATCATTTCAATTTTTGACCGCATGAAAAATCTGTTGAACAAAATTTTTCCGTCAACCCGATGAATTTGATCAGACTTGCGAAATTATCTGTAGCAATGTGATTGAGCCTTATATAGGCAACCATTTTGATTGCTGCTCTATAATGGAAAGCAGCTTTAAAAAGTGACTGGATACACTGTCTATATGCTAGCGCGTCTTCCTACTTTTTGGAAAAAACTATTGATTTGCTTGCTGTCTATATCTATCTCGTTTTTTATACAGGCAACGTCACTTTGGAAATTCAAAAGACAGGTGAGTATTCAAGCTCATTTAAGCAAACTACATTATGTGGTCTAGAAACTTATATGCTCATAATAGCTCTTCAGAATATTGGACTTCAACGCATTGCCTTGGTCTGGCATAGCCTTCAAATACTAAGAAAACAATAAAAATTGCAACGTACCTTCGCAAGCCTTTCAGCTCACCATCCAGACATCCCAAAGTCCCTGACAGAACCAAATTTCCAAGAAATTTGGATCTATCGAGAAGCGATGGCAGCGGAGAACCGCCGCCGGGGGCGGAGGTAGACCACCCACGAAGAAAACGATCAATTGGCGGACGGGAGGCGAGGGCGGCGAGACAGTGCAGAGTTTGCAGAGACACGCACAGATAGTGAACAAGAGCGATTACGGTGGGAAACAGGACAGCCGGGCTGGAGCGAGGTGGTTCAGCTCTCTTCATGATTTATATCTAGGGAGGCACTTTAGCACGTGGGTTTTCGCTGGAATTCTCGTTGATATAGCGTTGACAATGCCATATGCAAATAACAAAAAGGCCATAAGCAAATTTAATATTTGAATAAACAAATATCTTTGCAAATTCTATTTTGTTTATGATGAAATTGTCATTTTCTGTCAAGCAGCGTCTCATTCATGTTAATCTGCACTGACTTGCAGTTCATGGAGAATTACACCAAATGCATTTGGAAGATTCAGCGGTATCTTACCATACATCAGACTTGCTCATTCCCGACTTGGTTACAAGCTCTACTTATATCGCTCGTGTATCACTTTGTCTATTTTCGCATTGGATGATAACCATATACTGTTTTGAAGAGATTGGGCTCTTCATCTTATGATCGACTCTCTATAAATCTTGACATTTTCAAGATGATTTGATTGTTTCAGCCGGACCAAGATGGGTCCCTTCATCTGTAGCAAATTTGTGCTAGGTAGCGAGCGAACTTATGAAAAAACTAGCTGGCTTGCCCGGCTCCGCCGGGCCTGCCAGCTAGACCCGTGTGCGTATGTTCCGAATAGAAATTTTTATCTCTGAACCGATTGGGACCGAACTTTGCACACATACACTTCGGGGCAGGGAGCGTGTCACAGCCCACTTTTCGTTATCGATCGATGTCGATTTTACCGTTCGGATAAAATCGGTAAAATCGACATCGATCGATAACGAAAAGTAGCCTATGACACGCTCCCTGCCCTGAAGTATATGTGTGCCAAGTTTGGTCCCGATCGGTTCAGAAATAAAAATTTGTATTCGGAACATACGTACATACATACAGACAGACAGACATACAGACAGACATACAGACAGACAGACAAACAGACATTCAGCTTTATATATAAGATACGCTTTAAAGTAATCTAAGGAATACGTAGGTATACGCTGATAGATGACTGAACACTGCATATCAAGAAAAGAAAAGAAAAACCACAACCGCCTCTACAAAACTACAGTACCCTCGAAACAGAATGTTAAACCACAAATTTTTCTTGAGCTGAATATGACTCTGCTTTTAAACCAGGATCAATTAGCACTCCTTTTCGCAAAATCGGTCACCTTCCGTGGTCAGTTCGTGTGTTAAGTTGTTGAGCAGACATTTTTCAATCGAAAAGTGCTTTACCCCGAATTACTATTGTAATCGCTGAATTCGTATTAGGTGCTGATTTGTCAAATGCACTTATTCTTTTATTTTTACAGATAATTTTACCCCTATGTTTGCGGTAAGTATCTAAGTATCTACGCAGAAAATTCGACTAATTATCTTTACCATTAAACTGGAACAACTAATACTAGCTTTGAAAAAAGGACATGATAATTGAGTAAAATGCCTTAAATTTTAATAATCACTTGCTAATCAGCTCAAAATTCAACAATGAAACAACAGTGTCAACAAATATGTACATCAAATATGACCAAATTCAAAACTAGATAAATTCATATGATCGAAAAAGTAGTATTTGAGGGAAGGAGAGAAGAATCAGTGGGAGTAGGCTTATTTTCGCAATCAAAATTTTTCATCTCCTCCAACAACTTGATCTTCACCTTCGTCTTCGTGGAAGTATCGTTCCAAGTCAGCGCTCATTCCCAATGCTTGTACCATAGCAAGGAAGTGTTCTGAAAAATCGAACGAGAGATTAGGATAGAGTCCAGAATATAGAAAACTACACACGTGGCGGTGGAGCATTTGCATAGAGATCGGCAACATCCTGCTCACTCTTGGGTCGTCCAATTATCCAGCCAAAGCGAGGAAAAACCTGTATATATCATTACGTAAAACTTCGTCGATTATGACAAATTTTCACAAACCGTAGAGTGGATGTGACAGTACATGGGCAATTTGCCAAGTTCCTCCGCAGGTATACCAAGACGCTCGGAAAAGGCAGTAGGAACATACTGGAAAGGAGAAGTGTAAGTAATGGATACTAGATATTGCTTTCAAAAAATAAACATTTTTTACGAATCACATTTCCCATTACTCACCCGTTTCCCTCGTATACGATGTAAATCTTTTGGTTGAATCGTAGCCACATGTCCGTCCAAATCGGTCAAACGACTGCAGTAGAGCTCATCCCCGAGTATCGGGCACAGCATATGAGAAAACATCAAACGTGGAAGATGTCGAGCGACTGAATTTGCAGTAGTGCGTCTGATTGAAAACAAAGTACAGGGTGCGGCAAAAGTCTGGGAGCCTAATATTGCAGTACTGCAATTGCAAAGATACTGATGGTTTTGATTTCAATTTTATGCCACACTAGCTGGCTTACCCGGCCCCGGCCGTATCCGGACCAAACTTGGCACACATACACTTCGGGCCCCGGCGGGTGTCACAGTCCATTTTTCGTTATCGATCGATGTCGATTTTACCGATTTTTATCGATTTTTTTGCAGAATTCACCTACAGGGCTAGGAGTTGGCACAGAGGGGGAAGTGAGCATGGGGATTCCGAATACAATATTAGTTTCCAGAATTATCGATTACTTTTATTGATCTTATCGATTTTTTGTAAATTTTGACATGCGAGGCTGGGATTTTGCACAGGGGGTAATCGAGCATGCTGATTACGAACACAATACTAGTTTTCAGGATCGTCCATTACTTTTATCGGTTTTATCGATTTTTTTGTAAAGTTTGACCTGCGTGGCTGGGAGTTTGCACAGGGGGGTAATCGAGCATGCAGATTACGAATACAATATTAGTTTTCAAGATCATCCATTACTTTTATCGATTTTATCGATTTTTTGAAAATTCGAGCTAGGGGGCTGGAATTTGGCACAGGGGTGTAATAGCATGCTGATCACCCCCCTTGGGGATGATCAGCATGCTCGATTACCCCCCTGTGCCAACTCCCAGCCCCCTAGCTCAAACTTTGCAAAAAATCGATAAAATCGATAAAAGTAATCGATAATCCTGAAAACCAATATTGTATTCGGAATCCCCATGCTCGATTACCCCCCTGTGCCAACTCCCAGCCCCGTAGGTGAACTCAGCAAAAAAATCGATAAAAATCGATAAAATCGATATCGATCGATGACGAAAAGTAGCCTATGACACCCGCCGGGGCCCGTAGTTTATGTGTGCCAAGTTTGGTCCGGATCGGTTCAGAAATGGAATTTTCTATTCGGAACATACGTACAGACAGACAGACATACAGACAGACAGACAGACATACAGACAAACAGACATTCAGCTTTATATATAAGATGATGCTGCATTCCCTCTACAGAATACACTTTATTTGGCTGGAAATGGCTGCCATATGTTTTTGTAAGGATGGAAATTACCAAACTAGTACTTTTGCAAAGCGAAAACACCAGAATTTTTGGTATTTACAATTTTTGCTGTAACTAGAAATGCTGTCAATATTTTACAAAACTTCGATGCACACAACATAGAAGAGACTTTGCGCTATTGTATCCTAGTTTTGCTTTTGCCAGAAACTGTTCTTGCATGAACGGAGAATAAAAGTTTGCGAATGTTACCTACGCGCCAGTGAAAATCCGTCTTCAGAACAAATTTAAAAGCTATAGAATGCTCAATAGACACTGGGACCAGAGCTGTATGCATACGTCTTCCAAATTAGAATCTATTGGAATTCGGCTATAGAAACACTTTTTATACTTTTTAAACGATATTTTTGAGTTTTTATTCGCGCAATTGTAGCCAAATTCGGTATACGACGTACACATGCTTCTAATTGAAAATCCAGTATTTTTATTCCTAAGCAATGCAAAAAACTTCTTTTGAAAGTATATTGTAGACAAAAGTTTGCTCTATCACGCTGCGCATTTGCCAAAGTAAAAGAAGCAGTTATTGTGAAGGCGTGGGGCGAATTCCTAACGACTACCTGTGTGCCATGACAGGTGGACTTGCCAAGATTTTGTGGGGCTGCATGGAAGCCAAAAAAGGCAGTTTTGCAATTCAAGAACTGGGCTGTATCTGCAATGGTTCGAATTATGTGTGCGCCAAATTTTTCGTTTCTAGGTACTTCCCTTCTCGTTTTGTACGAAAAAGTACTAGGCTCCCAGACTTTTGCCGCACCCTGTAGATTCTCTACAAGAAATCTGCCATCTTTGGAAGTTCTTTGAGGCACCATCCCCAATCTAAGGTTGAAGATTTGATGCAGTACAATAGTAAGTCTAATTAGGTGAACGCTGTAACGAACTGCTGTAAAAGGTGTATTCTTTATAATTACTCTACATTCCAGTTTTGGGCTCAGCACCTTCAAACCACCTAGCAGAGGGTGTGGTGACCCCTATCGGTTTCAACTTTTAAAGCGCTTTTCTCGCTTCAAAATTCGTTTTCTGCAGCAGAATTGTATAATTGCCTGAGTAGGGGGCTTGGCTATTATACTGCACCAAAACCTCGCCAATGTCAATTTGAAGGAGCCTCTAGAACACGAAAGAAAATAGAGCTCTTAGAAAAATCAGTCTTGCAACTATAAAAATGGTCTCAGATGTTAGAACTGTGCGGCTGTTACTGTCAATTGCCGTAGCGTAACTTTTTTTGAATAACTTCCGATGCAAACTTCTTTTTTGGGAAGAAGTTGGTTAGTTCATTCCATAAAACTACGAAACATTTGATTCCGCACACAAAAAGTTCTAGTAGATCCAGCGATAAATACAGTAACGCTGAGATGCCGAATTGCCGACAACACTTGCGCATGAACAAATTGTAGGGGGTGCAAAACTTGCAAACATGCGCTCTACAGCTATTTTGCAATTATTGGCAATTTCTTCACGCGCAAATGTTGCCGGCAAATGTCGGAAGCGCAATAGCGCTATATCTACCTCAGGTTTACTAGTCTATACATGAGATGACTTTACAGAGTTGTATTTTCCGTGGTTTACCGTTATTTTGAAAGCAGATGAATCTTTGAAATGCAGTTTATCTAGTAAAAGGTATATTGCTGCAGTCTACGTAGAACTTGAGATGGGTCGGTAGACTCACACTTATTCGTTCCAAATTCTACAAGGGTGCATCCGTGCTTTCGCGAGAGCACTTGCCAAGACATTGTGCCAGCTACTGCAAATTTTCCACTTCGAGCACGTTTAGTACTCGGTTTTTCCACGAAGATATACTGGAAAATTCGAGTTTGTACAGAATCTTGTGAGCGGCCAATTCTGTCATTACACACCTCTGACAATTTGCCGTTTGATTGAAATGTTGCATATCCTGACAGCGTACCAGAAGACGATGGCGGTGAGCCCATTAGTATGGCTCTAAGCATTTATTTGGCTTATTCTGTTACAAGATTTCGCTAGACTCACAGTCCGTTGTAGTGATACTTGGCGTCGCGTGGCTGATGCAACGTATATTTGATGCTCTTCTTCATATTTTCAAAATCGTTCACGTTCGCTGGTAGCACAATAGCTCCAGAAAGGTACCTGAACTTTCACTTACGTAACATCCTTTCGATACAACTACAAGTTGGGAGACTGGAAAAACTAAAAACCAATCATCTTTCGCAAAGAAAAGGCAAGACATTACCTTCTATTACAACCTCCCCCGAGATTTTACAAATAATTAATTTTTTAGAAACATTTTAGCTACTTACAGATAAAAACGAGCTATGCACTCTATAACATATAGACACTTCCGATTCCTAAGAGCCCTTCTTGGAAAAGTTGAGATGAGGAAGACGAGGTCAGTAAATCAGTAATAAAATGACAAACTGGGTAGATAGAAATTGCACAAAAACGGTCGTTAAAAAAAACTCCGCACTAACAATCCATTGATGTATATGCATGCCAAGAATTAAGATAATCAACTTTTTCTGACTGAATGATGATTCATTTATAGCTGAGGAATCTCGAAGACAGTCGATAACGCTTCTTAGCGCCACCTCAATCTAGCAATGAAGTGAGCCCACTTTCTTCTCTAAAGGGCAAATTTTTGAAGAGTCACTTGAGTTATTAAATCACGCAAGTGATTTTTTTCACTTGTATGCAAATGAAATATCCAGGATACAAAAATACAACTAGCCTCAAAACTGTGCATAGCATTTTCGAGTAATGGACCCGTTGAATTTTTTGAACATCCTAAAAATCTCTCCAGAGGACGGTCTAACGCCACGCTCCTTCATTCGGAATTTTATTTCGGACCCCCAAGAAGTTTTATAGACCGCCACTGTCAGTACCGTACCTTAACAGGTCGCACAAGCAAAACCCAATTACCTAGAGGCTAGCAAGCCGGATTGCACACGGAACCTTCACCATGGAAGATTTTAAATAGAGGATGCGAGAGTGCGATCACTTAGGGTGTCAAAAAGCCAACGAGTCCAGGACTGCTGGCGTTTAGGGTAGGAGATACGGTATTCGGACAGTTTAAAGGCAGTATCCCGGCAAAATTCCTTTTTAGTTTCTCACCTTTTCAGAGCCTCTCGCCATGAGTAATCCATATTTAGGTTTTTCAGCGGGTGAAAAAGGCGGAAATGAGCTTTCTCCGAAGTTTTCCAGTCCGCATTGAGTGGAAAAAAGGTGTCAGTGGGCGGAGACCAAAACGAGGAAGGCGGGGTGCGGAAAACTTCTGGCGTATTCTCGTTGGATGCGGACCTCACTTTAGCCATTTCCATGCGCTGAAAGGCCCAGATATGGGTTCCTCATTGCGAGAAGGCTCCGAATAGTTGGAAAACTGGAAAGCAAGAATTTGTTCGGATCCCGCCTTTGAGCTGATGGAACTGTGCTCCTGTTAGCCCAACCCTTTACCGTATGCCGCAGTATTCGAAGGCGATTAAGGGGCATTAGTAATTTAGTGCTGCTCCGAAAGTGACCTAACAATGAAGGGATCATTCGCGCATGCATCACCCTCCACGGCCCTCCTGTACACACCTATGGCCTACTGTAGTGGTGCAAAAGCGGACGCCGATCTTATAAGCCAACTTCATATCGATCCTCATATTTAGGCTATCTCAAGCAATCGTGCTGCTAATTACCAGCATGCTGTCCACGACACTAGCCAAAAGATATTGGGGTGACTGGTCGTGCATCTTCAGAGAGTATTTCTGCAAAAACTGGATCTGCATGGTCTGCGGAATCATTTCAGTGATCTTATTCCTACTTAAACTCAATTTCAGAATTGTGGACCATGAAGTTCTTGTAGGAACTACTTCTGTATATGCCATGGCTGCAGAGATTAAAATATGTGACTCATTTCATAAGTATCAATAATTTTATACCAAGTGCAATAAAGATGCTAGCTAGCTTACGAGTGCATTATGGTGACTGACAAGAGTTGAAAGAAGGAGAAGGAATTGAAGATGTGTAGAAACAGAAGCTTAGAACAGCATGGTCACTTTGTCTACTCTCACAAGAATTTCCACAATATTACAAATTCAGTATGCTCCACAAATGGGTCTCATTTTTGAGCAATTTTCGCCCCTCCCTTGAAAAAAGTGAAGGTATACAAATGAAGGTGAACATAGAAAATCAGAGTAGAAAGTAACTTACCGCTTCAGTCCTGTACAAAACGTTAGATTCGGTTCATTAAAGTGCCTAGAGAGCCCAGGTAGGCACTCGGATATCGTTACCTCTCTTTCGTTACGTCTCCTCTACAAAATACTTAGCTGTGAATAGAATTTTGATCGAAACTATAACTCACCACTATAGTATCATCAGTATCTTTTCTATCATAAACACTATTTTCGAAAACGCCACCCTCTTTCTGAGGTTCGCCCACACAGGATACACCATACGGCTTAGGAATGATAAGAAATCTTCCTTAAATCGATTAATGCAAATCGTTATGCGTTGGCACAGTATTTCTTTTACCTGGCTCATGTAGTATAAAATTGTTCTTCAGATAGTTCGTAAGCTGTTCAACATAAGGGAACGCTTTTGTCTGTGTAGCAGTTCGCAAAATGTGTGGTCGCACAGCTGAATGTGGAGTGGTTGATGAACTGCAAAATCAAAGAATGGTATCGAGTAAGAGGAAAAGTTGAGATGGAAGGAAGAGATGGAGGCGGAGGGACAACAGATTGGCTGCCCGGGAGTCGAAAAAGGCCATGATTTCAAAAATATCTTTTCGGTAAGAACATCATTTATGAACACGAAAAGCATCGAGAGTTACCAGAGTCACCAGATAACAAATCTTGTATAAAACTTCAGAATTCTTAGAAGAAAAATTTAACCCGTATTTGTGGCAATCAAATCAAGTGATAGCAATTATGCTAACATAATGAATGACTGTACCAACCTTGGTCTGCTACTACATTTCCTAACAAACTGCAGTAATGGCGCTCGTTTCATACCTATAATTTCTAATTTACTTGTTTCTCGACAGCGACTCCTCCAGGTAGCTATGCTAGAACTGCTTCCAACACAAATTCAAGATGAGATGAGATAGCTTTATTCTTTGTACAAATGGAACAACATGAGACCGGTGTGATCACGATCATCGTCAGCTTTTCTTCTTGACTGATGGGGCTGAAGAAGAGCTTCCGCTATGCCCACTTTTCTTAGCAGCAGTGAGATGTTCCATATGCCTCCGTTGATCTTCAGCTAAACCTTGGTCTTTACTATGTGAGTCAAGTAAACAACAAAAAAAGTTGTACAAACCGATTTTCTCATATCGACAACATTTTGGATAGTTCACCGTAAGCAGATTAGGAGGTAGCAAAGTTGCTGAAATACAATACATGATAAGAAACAAAAAAGAAGGACTAAAATTTTATGAGAAAAGGCGACAAGACTCCATACTTATAATACTGTGTAACTTACCAACTTCATCGATACCAAAAGTCAAAATCAGCTGCTCATAGCTGGATGGATTTTGGAAGTCTTTGACTTCTTGTATGGCAACATTCACATCAATACCAGCCGCTTTTCTCTCGAAATGTTTGCAGAAAGCTTCCTGAAAATGATAATGTGCAGATTCAATCATTTTGTGCAATGCTCAGGCAAAAGTTTCCATTAATGTTATCAAGGCTTATTTTATGAAAAAAAAAACTAACCACCAGTTCAGGATCACATTCTATCGTCGGAGCTGGAGGTATGCTAACTTCTTGATGAGGAGGAGTATCAACTCTCTGAAGAGATGCATTCATTCTCGTAACGAATTGAGTCATGGCTGCGGTCTAAAGGATGATTGTGGGACAAACTACAAACTAAACAAAGCAAATACCATAGAAAAGCAGGATAAATAACGCCCTTTTTTCTACCGCATCCAAAAGAAAGACGATGCAAAGAAGAAGATGCAAAACTGACGCTGTTGTAGAACTCATACCTTCGGATCAACATCATGCTCTACTCCGTGCAAAGGGCTATCATAGGGACGAGGTGTCCAACCACCAGACCCAGTAGAAGCACTATCTTCGACCTAGAAAAAAACTATCTTCAATTCAGCTTCTAACTGCTCCCAAACTGATCCCGTAATATTTTCCAATAAATGCAAAGATCACTCAATATCAAAAGCGTGAGAGAAGGCTCTCAAGAAAAGAACCTAACTCATAGCGAGAAAAAAAAATAACATTAAGAACCTGTTTCATGAGATTGCGTCCATCTTCAAGAGCCATGTCTATAAGTCGCTCATTCTCATCATCGGTATCATCTTCCTGAAATAATGGTGAAGTAATCCACTGTTAATTTCCGTGCAAGGTAGCCTTTTCTAATATTCCTCAGTGACGGATCAGAACAAGGCTTCCAAAACGAATGCCAGTAAAAAATTACGCAAAAATGTAACCCAAATACTGCATTTCTGGCACAGACTTATCAATAGCTAGTAGCTACAAAAAATTGATGAATTGCTTGAAGAGAATACTCCCAGTTACGCCGCGCTTATACAGTGCTGGCCATACCTATAAAGCCACCCTAGAAATCACCGTAATTTGCCCTCTTTTGCTCAGAATTGTCTGAAAAACCACTATTTTGTGTGCAAACTAACGTCTTACCATTGACCAGAACGGCTCACTATTTCAATGATTTTGGCTGGAGAAAAATTTAAAAATTTGAAAAACGGGTTCCGCAAGCTCTGGTCACAGCTATAAAGCCACCTCTCATTTTCAACCAATACTACGTTTTTTAAATCTAAAATTTTTTCATGTACAGCATCAAAATATGAAACATTTGTTACAATTGGAAGCTGTCGCCTTTTGAAAAGAAGATTTGTACTGCATTTTTTGCTCTTAAATGCATAAAAAGTCACCTTAATTAAAAAAACTGCTTTTTCACTAAAATTTGAATTTCACTTGTTTGACTTGGGTGAAGGTTCTAGGCTTTGCCAAGCCTTTGCAATGAACATGGTGAAAAGTGCTTGAGTCATCATTGCGTAGTCGCTGATATTGATAAACGAACCCTAACCTCACCTCCAGGTAGACGAGCTTTCGAACCGCAGAAATTGAGTTGTAATGCCCGAAAAGCTCTGTCATGTGCTCAGAACGTTACCTGTACAACGATAGACTCGTGCGCATAGCTTGAACGTCATCGCACTCTCAGGATTTTGGTTCCGCCTTGGACGCCTTTTTTCCATGAGTGGTGCACTCTACCTGATCATGACACACTCTGACCTCTCGATCGAGCGGAAAACCGCTCAAAACTTCAAATTTCTGGTATTTCTAACAATTTTGTAAGATTTGACTTGATGAGGAGTTCAAAGCAGTGAAATTTGAAGTTATGTGAGATACACTGCGCACAACCGAACTTCAGACAAAGCGTTCTAGTTCAGTGCTGCAAAAAATTTTTTGAAAGTCTTTGCAAAAAGCCTGACAGCTTCTACATGAGTACGTCGCCATGCAAACAAGGTGTCAACTTCCAACCAAAAGTTTTCGCGCATCAGAAATCGAGTTTTGCTCAGAAGCGTGTTTATCCCTCGGTAAAATGAGGCTCGTTTATCAAAATCAGCGACTACGCAATGTTGAGTCCAGCGCTTTTCACAGTGTTCATTGCAAAGGCTTGGCAAAGCCTAGAACCTTCACCCGAGTCAAACAAGTGCTATAAATTTCAGTGAAAAAGCAGTTTTTCAAAAATAATGTGACCTTTTATGCATTTAAGAGCAAAAAATGCAGTACAAATCTTCTTTTCAAAAGGCGACAGCTTCCAATTGTAACAAATGTTTCATACTTTGATGCTGTACATGTACAAAAAATTTCAGACTTGAAAAACGTAGTATGTTGAAAATGAGAGGTGGCTTTATAGCTGTGACCAGCTTGCGGAACCCGTTTTTCAAATTTTTTAATTTTTCTCCAGCCAAAATCAGTGAAATTGTGAGCCGTTCTGGTCAATGATAAGAGTCAGTTTGCACACAAAATAGTGGTTTTTCAGACAATTCTGAGCAAAAGAAAACAAATTACAGTGATTTCTAGGGTGGCTTTATAGCTATGGCCAGCACTGTATGAAGAGTCGTGAAAAATAAGTTCAAAATCATAACTGCAAAGAAGCACAAAAGAGGCATTTCTATCAGACTTACTCTCTCGGGCGGTCGTGGTTCAACCATTCCTGAAGGTGGTGTTGTCGGTCGGGATACATTTTTAGCGGCACGATCAGCTAGAAAAATGGAATAATTGGGATCCATCTTTGCTGATTAGGGAATGCATTACCTCTTTCAAAAGCATCTTCTTTCCCCTCATCGTCACCGCTATAAGACACAAGCGAAACAGCTGACGATACCTGAAAGAGACTCATAAGTACTTTGGTGAAAAAGAAAAATAGTCAGCTGGTAAAGTGTAAAACGAGAAATTTCGTGAAATCTCATCACCAAAGATATACCTGAGGTAGCTTGGTGTTTGTTGGAGTTGGAATCGATGGTGACGGCGAATGATCAACTTTTCGTTTTGGCGGCGGAGGTTCTCGGAACTCCGTAGGTTCACTTCTGTCACTATGATCACTGAACGATGAGTACCGTCGCGGCTCATCGAACATTACATCACCATCTGAAGGCGAAACTAAAAAAGCTTTTGGCGAGATGTCAAAAGGCAGTCAGACACAAAGCAAGAATACACCCCCGATGCAAGATACGTTCCGGAGTGACTTCCAAATGACAGGATTTCTTTGTTGATGCTATTTATGCAGAGTATAGTCAAGGATTATTTTTCAGTGGGGGGGGGGGGGCGCTCGTTACGTGCGGGCTGCTAAATGGAAGACGTCGCAACGCGGCGTTACAGTAACCGCGCGCGGGAAGCAGCAGTGCAGAGAACTTGTCAGGTTTATACCAGTAGATTACCAATGCTTCTTCTATATTGTTAGTTTTTTTTTACCATTTTCAATTTGTGTCTTTTTTGTCCTTTACAGAGCTCATTTTACAGCTTTTGTGGCAAAACTAATATGAGAATAGTCTGTGAACCTCAACAAAGGATGAGAAACTGAAAAACTATGCGCTGCGGATCATGTTGGCTGAATTCCCCGAGTCTGGTTACTGGCAGCCTGTCGCGCGGGACGTTTTCCAATTGGAAGCCCGCACGTAACGATACGCCCCCAACATAAAGATGCCTTATCAAGAAAGTGATGTTACCTCTCATTAAAAGTCCCACCGAAACGTAGCGTTTCGATCTGTAGAGTACAAAGGAGAAAACCTGCGCAAAAGCAAAAATAATGCATCTCACGAGCAAAAGAAAACCTTCATCAGCTTCTTGTGAAGAGTGTTTTAAGAAACTGCATTTGATGCGTTTCAAAGCCAACTACGTTGCAACTTTCGAAAGAGTACTGTTACAAGTCGAGTAGCTGAAGAATGACTTCGCCAGATGTTGAGAAGCTAACGAAATTGCATATCGTAAGCATTGAACCGTGATGATATAAGCTAGTAAGGAAAACGAAAGAAACACTCTGTTTGGTATTTGAAAACCATTAAACGGGTATAAAATCCAACTTTGTTCTAAACTTGAGACCCACCATCAAACATCATATCCGAGTTACGTCTTGTTCTTGGTGACTGCTCAGGGCTTCTCTGTGGCGAAAGCTCTCTGCTGGGCCCATACTCTTTTTCGCTAATCAATATTTTGATAGCTAAACAAATTAGGATAGAGCATAGTAAAAAAAACACAAGCTTAACGAATAAGAAAAAGTAAACTCACGCGGCTCATCATGAGAACGTCGTCGTGGTGAATCCTCATCGCTCTCGTCCCCATAATCTGCTAAGGTATTCATCTGAATGGACTGAAAGATATTCCAATTGTTTCGTGGAAAAACAAAGAAATCTTCGAAAAATTAAGATTAGAAGAATATTCCGCAATATTGCGCGAAACGTCGTGCAGCATGCAATCTCGACTGGAGCAGATTTATATCGCGGCATTCCTGCCGAGGCTTGCGCTCTGCTGCTCAAGTTCAAAGCTCATGCTGTCCTAAAGTCCGGAGCAGTGATAGGATCTGCCAGTAAAAAGTTGTTTACAGCAAGGTGAATCTCTTATGCAACTCTCAAGTTTGAAAAGAAAGTACGGTCATTCTTGTTAGTTTCTTCAAACAGTAAGGTGGACTCTTCTCATATGGATGGGAGCTATGAACAAGGTAAAGTCAAATGCTGTACGAATGTTTCGAGAAACACCAAAAGAGCATGCCATTCGAACCAGCAACTGGAAGGAGATGTATGTTAGCAAATGTGTTCCAAAGACCTTTTCAAATGTGCGTTCCGTATGCTATGTTCAGAAGTTAAAAGGGCCAAAGATAGTGTCCATGCAAATCTTGCTCATCGTGAAACATGCGACTCATGTGAAGACAGTTTATAGTGCCCTAAGGTTGCGTCCAAAGTTGCCCGGATGCTCAATGGTTGAGGAATTCATTATCAAATTGGAATTCCACTATCGTAATTGAGGACGACATGCATCGACATATGCTCTTGCGCCGGACCTACCAGCTCGCCTTAAGGAATCAAAAGACTTTCTAAAAGAAAACTGAGAAAGTATACACAATTCATGACACGGAAAGACTGGGCGCCGTTGCGTCTGACCAGATAGTTTATGCATGGAAGAGACAGCAGATGGTAAGAAAAACGAAAGAGCCCTAGATAAAAGAGACGCCGGTAAGCCCGCAGTCTGCGTGCTATGAATCGCCTATAGCATGTTGTTTGCTTCAAATGCCCACACGGACTGGCGGCTAATTTGTTAGTGAGAAGAATGAAACACATCTACCACAATCACCACATCCCACACACGACATTTTTGGTGTCGCATATTATGGCGCAAATGCGATCTGGAGTTACCAATCACTGTCTCAGATAATCGCCGGAGGCAGGCGGCCATGCGATTTATGTGCGGGCGGGCACCGGAAAAATAGTTCGCTGATTTCTTGCGGTCCGCTTGCGGGTATTTGAAAGAATTTCAGCGACATTTTAGACGAATGCTTGGAAGACAATCGCGGTTTTCTTATAGATTAGCTGCGGCGCAGTGGCCGCATTCTCGCGGACTTTCCGCGAGAATATGCAAAATTTTTGAGGGCCGCACGGTCCTTTGTGGAGGACCGCGCAGCCCCCAGGTATTTTCCACTGAGAGAAAGTACGTCAAACTTGAGTAATTAAACCAACCGTGACACCTCCGCCACACAGAGTCTTACCTGTGCTCGGCATACGCTTGAAACCTGTGTAAAAAGAGTCCGAGCGTTTGCTGAAAGAGATTATTTGGTGAGCGCCTGCAGAAAATCCTGTTGCTGCCCGTGGCAGAACATTAGACAGTAAAGGAAACACCGCTCGCTGAAGGTTTGGCCACGATCCAAAATCCTGCTGACCGCTTGCAGAAAAGCGCGAGCTTGCGGACCGCCTGCCTCTGGCGATTATCTGAGTTATATAGGTTTTGTAGCATGCTGATTACAAAAATGATAGTCTCAAGTTTTGATCCCACCTTCTAACACCAGTTTTTTGATTTCTACGAAAATTCTACCGTACTGCTACCGTAGTCTCACCGTGAGAATGTAGTGAACAAAGTGGACACTATAATCGTGATCAGCACATGAAATAACCCCAATGCACAAATTTCCATGAAAACCCATGATGTTGGGTTCGTACAGGATGAATACCGTAACCTTACCGTATAACGCCAAAAACTGAAATAAATCATAGTTTGGTAATCAGCGCTTCCAATAACCCTTGTGGGGAAATTTTCGGAGACATGTTCTGAATTTCTTCCAAAAAGACTACCATTTCGGATAATACGACCCACGGGTGGGTCTAATTTAGCAGAGCAAAAAAGCCTCCTGTCCGAAATGGCAGTAATCGAAAAATCGGCCTTGTCGTCAATGTGTTAATGAAGAGACGCAAACTTGGGTTCTCAGCATGTACTGTAGCTGCAAAACGGCGCGAACCGTTGCGAGGCGGGCGTCCCGCCAATCCAATTTCCGCCGAAGGAGGGTCGAAACTTACTTTACCACACGGTTATGGTTTCTACCGCGACGAGACGTTGCAGGCGCTGTAGTAAAACGCCTCGTCATCTTAAACGCTACGCCTTTTACTTTGTTACTACAAAGATAGAGCACTTTACCATACCACATCGCACACAGGACTTGCTATCTTTTGGCAGTAAACGTGACAGAGGCGGTCCTACAAGTGAGCTTGATGGAATTTGACTACAATCTTTAGGAAGTCCTCGTTCTGATGAAGTCCGAACAATCGGAACCCAGCTAGTCATCAATAGTCTCTCGGAATATGTTGGCTCACGATAGGTGACCTCCAGCAGCGATCTCTTCCTGCCAGCAGGACCCAGCAGGAGCTAGTTCCCTCTTCCCTAATCTCTTTTCGTCCTTGCAGCGTGGTTGATAGATAATATAGCAAAACGTCATGAACATTTAGCCCGGAAGGTGGTAGGCTGTTCATTCCACCTTATCAGAATCCCTGACGATCAATCTGAACATGAGCGAAGTCGAAGCTTGCTACAGTCGCCGTAAAATATGCGCTCCTTTCTAGTTGCTCAGGAGTTCTTACCGCTCAGGTAAGGAGGGGAGCTCTCTCAAGGAATGGAGCCGTTGGGACCTATAGCCAGTTCTCAGCATTTGCTCAAGATCGAGGTTGGCATAGGGTAGACTATCTCCGGCAGTGACCTCTGCCCACCAGCAAAAGCTAATTCCTTATCCGTCTTCTGTATATAAATTGTATGATATACATTAGCAAAGCATGCAACTCCGTTACACATTTAGAAGAGTCGAGAACCTTTTTTTTCCACATAAACTGAAAGTTCAAGAAACGTGAATTACATCGGGATTGAGGCTCGATCAGATTAAGCGTTGGCATCTTATATATAAAGCTGAATGTCTGTATGTCTGTATGTCTGTCTGTCTGTACGTATGTGCGGAATAGAAATTTTTATTTCTGGACCGATTTGGACCAAACTTGCACACATATACTTCGGGACAGGGAGCGTGTCATAGTCCACTTTTCGTACTATGACACGCTCCCTGTCCCGAAGTGTATGTGTGCAAAGTTTGGTCCCGGGCGGAGCCGGGTTTGCCATCTAGTTTTTTATAAGTTCAGGAACGGGCTCCTCTGCTCCCACTGTCGTCTGTAATGGTGAAAATTCTGCAGATGTCAGGTCGGGAGTGACACGCCCCGATCCCTGCTGGCCCCCTTCTCTCTGAAACTATATATGTAATGTGCCAAATAAGAGTCAATCTGCTCCCTTTCTTACCGTTTGACAAACATAAAGAAGAAAGTGCACATTTACAAGTCATTGGAAGGCATCACGCGGACACTGAGCTTAATCGGTGTTTCGAGTGCTTGTTCAATCTCATTCTATCAGTCAATAGACGCAACATGTGACAATGACATTGGATTGGGTTAAGGCAGTTCCCGGCAGAATTTGCATTCCCATCGTCTTGCATGTTTTGGACCTTTCCGACCCGTAGACCCCGAAGAGCTTTGAAAGGGATGAAAAGACTTTTTTCGGGTTACACATCCAAAAGGCAGCTCGGACGAGAATTTCAGCGGAAAGTTGGGAGGCCCTGGCGCGAAGACCCCGCTGCCAGTGGCGGTCCCAGGATTTCCGTCCGGGGGGCGGGGGGCGGAAAATTTCTTTTCAAATGAAGGTGCGGGCCTTAGCCACGCACTCCGAAAAATTTTTGGGGTCCTTCTTAAAATTTTTCGGGCCCATGGCGTCAGCCACGCCCCGAAAAAATTTTTTTTACAAGGCTAATTTGAGTTTTTAAAAAATTTTGAAAATTATTTCAATTATTTGCAAAAATAAACAAGTCATTTGCACATTTTTATAACCCTCTTTGTTCTCAAAAAAATTGAATTTCAGTAGCAATACTGCTGCACTTGCTAGCCATGCTGCCGTTATTATTGTGGAAGTGTGCTCCTGCACATCGCCAGTTGAGAACAAGAGATAGGAGAAGGTTTGTATTCGGCAAAGTTTGTCAACTTTTAGAGTACTAAGTTTTGTACTCTTCAAAAAAGACCGGTACTGATGAGCACGAGCGTATGCATACAGTCTGCTCCAGTTTTAGCCAAGCCAAAATTGGCATAGCGGGAGTCCGCGTCGCTAGAGTTTCGCGGTCACGTCCACGGCCTGCTTCTCTGCTCTCTCTTCAATCTTTCTGCTCTCTCCGACAGCGCGCATATGCAGCGCAGAGCGCTAGCGCTGCGAGCGAGCAAATTTACACCGACGGTTCGGCCTACGATTGGAGCACACTGTATAAGCCGCTGCATCCATAATCAGATAGGCGGCAGACTAATTGATTGCTTGCTTCAGCAGTACGCTGCGCAACTAGACTTATGGATATGCTGCCACCCTCTTAATGGCAGATACCATACTAGATCATAACTTAACCTCGGACATGTCCAAAAAACACATTCCAACATACGCGTTTATCGTTATAGCACCAAAACAATAAGAGTATCGATATCCCGGGAGAACAAACAACAACAAAGCATAAGAATAATGAGATCTGAGCCCATAGACGAAATGGCTCGTTGGTCGTCGGTTCCACACTGTCTTCAGACCGCTCCTCCCTCCTTATCTAGTGGCATCTGGCGAACGACGGCGCGGAGCAATCTGTAGACAAAGTATATGGGAAACGTAGATGATTGCAACATTACATGAACAATGATTAAGGGAACTCATTAGGAGAAAGCAAAAGAATAAAGTGTGAGTATAGGTATACTTACCTGATAGATATAATCGTAAATACTATTTACACCGTAAATACTATTTACGATAGTAAGTGATGTCATTTGACGCCATGTTGGACGGACATCGAAGTGGCGTCTGCGATGTTCCCAACAACGGTAGTTTTGAAGAGATTATAAAGAAAACCCTCGTAGAATGAGAGGAAATCGGCTTACCAGCGAAGAATTTTTGTTGTGGCGAGATCGCACACGCCGACTTGATTTTCCTACAACGTGACGTCAAGTGACAGTAAATGCGCCGCGTCCTGCTGAAGCAGGCATATCGGTTATCTAGCGCTATATGGAAATCATCCTTGTAAAGAGACAGAAATCTAAAAGGGGGTGTAGTCATGTATAAGATCATTATCTATAGTTATTATCAGGTCAATGTCGCTTATCATTTACAGCTCATTTCAGGGCATTAAAAGGAACCACTAATTTTGATGGTCTAGAAGAGGTTGGACAAACTGATGTGGATGTGGCAAGGAAAGAAGGTAATATTTTATCCTTTCAGAAAGAATTCACCAGAACGACCATCGCATTTCTGTCAATGAAGTTTCATCGTTATAAGCAGTGTTTTCTTAGTCGGACTCTCTCATCCCAGCTTCAAAGGGGCATATTTATTTATTTATTTATTGAATGCACATGACGTGCGCCAAAAGTAAATGAATAAACAAAATGAAAAGTGTAGGCAGTTATCAACTCAAAAACAATCAGCAAGCATTTTAACATCAACTATTGTCACCCTCCTCACTACAACAACTGTTATGCGATGCTAACTCTTTTATCAGATCATTTGACTCCTAGCCACTTAGTGTTGCCTCGTAATGTTCAGTAGTTGGTATGCAGCTCTCATTCACATGGTAAACAGCCGATAAAGAAGAGCAGATACCGAGGCGAATGGGCTAAACCATGCGTGCCTCAGAGGCATAATTCCTCCTAACACTAGCACTTCCTAGTTCCCATTGCTCATCTTAATGAATCAACTGTAAGAACTATCCAGCACGAATTCACGAAAATGACATTGCTTGTGAGAAAACCAAGGTGTATGGAACTGAACTATGCTTATCTAGGTACTGAGTTCCCTCTAATTTTCTCTCTGTGATACCTCAGTGGTAATTGGCAACGGGAAGATACTGTAGCTAGGATCGAAACTCAATACAAAGAGTGAGCATGCTTAAACAGTAAGCTGGAGAGGGAGAGGCATGTGAGTTGATGTTAGTATCAGTATCGGTATAGAATTAACATGAATGATACTCATCGCTGTAGAGAAGAGCCCGTCGATCAAGCTGAAAGAAAAAACTCTTAGGAAGAAACTTTCACTATAAATTCAAATATACTACAAATCAACTTTCCTGAGCTTGAATTTGAAGCTGGAACTGCAACTGGCACCTAGAACTTCCGAGGGTAGCTGTTGTAACCACCTTGCTCCTCGATGGAACAGGGTGTTGTAAGCTAGCAAAAACTTTCTTCTTTTGAGATGAGTATAATGCAGATTGAAATAATTGGAGCGTAGACTACAAGGCATGAAAACCCAGTATTTGCTTGCAGGGAGTATAAGCTCTTTTCGTAGTATTTTAAAGCAAAAGACGAGATCAAGCTCTTTTCTACGATGCTCCAAACTACTCATGTTCAATTTTTTGATTCGGTCGGCATAGGAAGGCATATTAGTTATAGCTAATTCTCTCCAACATCTTAGATACAGTAGACGGGTAAACGTGTGCTGGACTTTCTCTAACCTCCTGACATCTTTTCTCATGTAAGGGCTCCACACTTGCGAGCAGTATTCTAGATGAGGTAAAACAAAAGCGTTGTATAATCGTTTGAGGATCTGCGGATTTTGAGTATGTATGGATCTGAAGATAGCAAATAGCACATTGTATGCCTTTTTGACTACCATATCTATATGTTGTGAGAATTTGAGAGAAGGATCAAGAATTATCCCTAAGTCTTTGGCTACTTCACATTGAGACAGCGTAAACCCATTGATTTCATAACTGATTCCTGGGTTCCCTCCGATATGCATCACTGAACATTTGCTCAGGTTGATGGGAAGATCCCATTTTTCTGACCAGACCAATAGTCTTTCAATGGAAACTTGCAGCGCTCTATGTATTTCATCACAATTTGAAGAATCGTAAATTCCATAAATTTTTACGTCGTCGGCATACATCTGTACCATGATAGAGGTTGAGGTTACCAGAACCGATGGCAAATCCGACGTATACATCAGAAAGAGCAACGGCGAAAGTGCACCCCCTTGCGGGACTCCACTCTGACAGTGTTTTCTTTCTGAATAGTTTAGTCCTACTTTGACAGTCATGTGTCTTCCACTCAAATATGCTTTAAGCCAGGCAAGCACATTTCCGGATATCCCAAGATTTCTAAGCTTAAACAAAAGCTTCTCATGACACACCTTATCAAATGCTTTTGAGAAGTCAATAAAAATAACATCAACAATCTGATTCTTGTTGAGTGCCATGGTCCAATCAAAAACGGTATCAGCTAGATTAGTAGCAGTACTAGCTCCTTCAAGAAAGCCGTGTTGCTCTTTGGGGATTATGCCTGATTTCAAAAGCCATGATGTGAGCACATCGCACAAAATCTTCTCCATAACCTTGACCGAGGAAGGAGTGATGCTTATCGGGCGGAACTCTGATATTAGATGAGCAGAAGAAACTTTCGGTATTGGTGTGATCAACGACTCTTTCCACACTCTAGGTATCTCACCGGAGAGCATGGATATGTTGAAGATGTGCGCCAAAGGCTTACACAAGGCTTCAGCACATTCTCTATACACTATCTGGGGTATACCATCATAAGGTTCAGCCAATGTTGGCTTTGATCTTTTCAAAACTTTCCTTATTTCTGAAGGCTCAAAATATGCATTACATAGGAGGCGATTAGATGAAGGTATAGTGACCAATTCGCCACCGAAGGTTACGGTATCAACAGCTGTGAAAACACTAGCGAAGTAATCAGCAAGTGCATTAGCTTTGTCGGCATCGGCACTGTAACTATTACCAGCTGTGTCTTTCAGGACTGGTAGTCGGCTATATGTTTTTAGCTTTCTGCTTACATACTGATATAGATGCTTTGAAGAAAGTTTAGAAGCAAGCCTTCGCTCGTGGTATGCCAGAAATCTCTTCAAATGAAAATCAATATCGTCACATATCTTCCTGTACAAGTCACTTTCATGTGGATTCTTGAGGCAAAAAAAAAGACGGTGCTTTTGCTCCAACAAATTTTTTATGTGTTGAGGGTATTTCGTTCTAAAAGGGTGATGAGTTCGAAAAGGCACAAAAGCTTTGAACGCTTCATAGATAGTCGTGCAAAATCTTTCGTACACATCGTCAACTGAAGAGTAGTCGTTGAACACACCAAGCCAATCAATAGTCAAAAGATAGTTATTAAGAGATTCGAAGTCGGTGCGAAGATAATCAGGAGTAGGAGGAAGATTAGGGGAGCAGTAATCTTCATTTAAAACAAAGCTGACTATAGAGTGGTCAGAGTTAGCGAGAGGAGCACAGATTTTTAGGTTTGACACAATTGGAGATGAGGATAGGACAAGATCTAGAGTGTTTGAGGCATGTGTCGGATAATTTACGCGCTGTTCTAGACCCAACTCAGCGAAAAAGTTTAAAAATTTTGCAGCTTTGGTATCGAGAGGATTCGTGCAACCCCAATCAACATGAAGATTGAAATCACCAACCACTATCACGTTAGTGTCATTACTTGCAAGAACGCTGATCAAATCAACAAGGTTGTCGTCATCAACTGTCTGGCAATTAGGAGGCCGGTAAACGAGTACAATCCTTGTCTTCGAATGCCCACTATGCGAAATCAAATCAACACACAAAATACTTGATTTGGTGGTACATACAGCTTCTACCTTCTGAACCAATAGCAATGAATTAGCTAGAAGACAGACTCCGCCCCCTCGGGTAGTTCGGTCTGAGCGAAAAATGGTATATGGAAAACCGCCCACAATTTCACTATCAAGAATTCTTGATGTGAACCAAGTTTCAGTAACAAAAACTAAATCAGGCTTACATTGAGACAAAAAAGCATGAAATTGATGGATCTTATTTACTAAACTTCTAGCATTCAAGAGATAGGCTTTCAGTCCAACCCGGGTACCATGCGGGCTCAATAGTTTCCCGACCTCCTCTTTGTCAGCTCAGAAACCCTTACCAACTGTCCGCGGTACATTACCCATTCCTTTTCCTTTTTTCCTTGATTTCGTTCTCGAGCAGTCTGCCTGAGATCGTATTCTAGCTTCCGCTCCTCTTCGGTCATGCTTTTGCGGACAAAAATGCCCGCCAATCCTGCTCGCCGAAGCAGGTGAGCATTGGCAAGGGCCACTCTCCAGTAGAATGTGGAGGGGAGCACCAACTTTATTAGTCTTGGGCGCGTTGGGCTGGGCTTCCCCATCCAAAACACTTCACTGGGTGGGCAATCAATATCTAAGGCCTCCAGTATGGTATCCACCTTATCCTGTAGATATTTCCGTCTTGCCAATGCTCCTAGACCCTCGGGCGGTTCGTCTACACCGCTTATGACAAGACTTCTTGCTCTTTTTTCTTCTTCCACCGCCGCTGAAAAGTCCTTGGGAATCTTATCAGCTAAAGCTCGCAGCATCTCACTCATCACTGGATCTCTGCTTCTTTCCAACATGGAAGTGATGAGCTCCTGTGCTGTCATCCTACTGTAATCAGTAGCTGCGGTGTCACCCTCACGTTCAATCTCTTCATTTCCTCCCACTGATCGTTGAGATTGAGATCCTGCAGTCGTTCCCTTAATTCTGGAAGCACGAGTGGTCTTGGCTGGCATTTGATCTATTTTGATCTACCTCGGTCAGAAAAACGATGATAGAACGGCGCGAAAACTGCAAAATCCAAAAATAATGACAAAAACAACCAATCACGTTAACCAGGGCTGCACAAACCCACTCACAATACAGATATAGCTGCAAAGAGAAAAAAAAACTGAGTAGAAAAGGATCAGGAGGCAAAGAATGACAGAAAGTGAGAGAGGGCAAAAAAAGCAGCCGCTCGCTAACTCAGACGCGATGAGAATGAATAAGACTCAGACGCGATGAGAATATGCAGAATACTGGATCTTGCGAAAGATTTCCAAATTCTTACATGGCCTTGCCTTGTCCTTATCCGAAAGAACTGAAAATGAGATGCACAGCGATGAACTCTACCCTCACATATATGGGTTGACGTTTTTGGTGGGAGAGGTGAAGATATTCTTTGCCTGTTTTGTCGCGCATCTCCCAGATTCATTATCGTTATTTTTCAAGATGGTTGAATCAGGGGAGTAAAGTCTGGAAGAGCTCTCAAATGATCTTCGCATCAATTCCACAGGCATCGATTAACAGTTCCGTCCAATATATCATTGCATCATTTGGGTAAATGAGATTAATCAGTGTATCGAACTTGCTGTAGGAGGCAACCCGTATTGGTGTATTCGATCAGTTGCCTGAGTCTTTTACAGAACTCATTTTGCTCACCCCGTTCAAGTTTTTTGAAACTAAATATCTAGCTCAAAAAATTTTTTCGGGCTGCATACAAAATTTAGAGATAGGATATTGCGATGTCGCAGGTCCTTGTATAGCAAGACTGTCAGGGTAATTTCCATTCAGTTAAGACCGACTTTATTCAGACCATGGGCTAGATAAAGTTTTGGCGGGGATCGGCGAGAGGATTTTGAGGTCACTGGGTTGATGGATCAGTAAGGAATCCGTCCAAAATCGGGTCGAAAGAATCGACTTCATCAGCCTTTCCTGTAAGAACAGCAAGGTCCTGTTGGAGCAAACAGCGGCTTTTCCTACCCTGATGTTCACATAGCATGTGCTGTTCATTAGCGTATAAATTTACGCAAAAATTGCTGTTGATATTAGCTCCTTGTAGCGGTAAACGTTTTCTATGCATCGTTTCTCTTCCCTGTTCTCGATAACGACATCTCGCAAAAAAGGGCACAGAAAAGAGCAAATTGCAGCTGCAGTTGGCCTTATTTTTGAATAGATGCAGTATAAAAATTCGTCGCCTGTCTTTCGAAGGTCTGGCCACTACACATTACCGTCTTAACTGTGCGCGAGCATACACCAAGTAGGCCGCGCCGTCTGGTCGAACACTAAGGACTAAGGTAACGATAGACGGTTTTATCATTTAGCAGAGTAACTTTTGCACATGGCGAAGACCACATCCTAAGACAGTCTGGGAAAATCTGCCCGCTTCGTGATTATACATTTTCTGACTTTCTTGAGAAGTATCATGATTTCAAGCGTATAGGATGCGGGGGATTTATTCTTCTAAGATCGAACAGCGCAGACACGCCGAAGGACTTCGCGACTAAAACACTACTCACAGTGCTGCATATTGCCTGAGAGTATTGTGCGGCACAAGTCTCGTTTTCCGAAACAAAACGAGCCGGATGAGCGGCACGCTGGAAAACCGAAAAAGGTGCGCCTTATAAGAGTGAAATTAGGTTGCCACATTCCCAAAAATTTAAACAGAACCTTTGCTTCCGCATTTTCTACCCATCCCAGTAATGACAGGTATGTAGCGTAATATGTATCCAGCGTGCATGTCACTAAAGAATCATTCAAGATGAAAGACGAATGTAAGCCTGTTTCCAGAGGAGCTGCGGAGGCAACTCATCAAAAAGACTATAGAAAAGCTACAGAAAGAGTTGGAGGAGGAAGCCTCTAAAACCCCTGTACGAAACGAGTGAGTATGCAGCGGAAGATTAATGTGATGAAGACATCACTGACTAGAGCTAGAAGATAAATAATTACGTAGAAAACAGTTTAGAAGTAGATGTAATTTGATTTGATATGCTCAGTATTTCAGTGCGATTCAATATAGGGTGCAAGTTTCGCAGAGTTCTGGCAAAATTTCGGCAAAATGGCCGTGCTTCCTTTACTTTATTTTTTGGCGTAGAGTGTCGTTTTAAGTAAGCTATAGCTTTATACGTATTGACCATCACTAGTGGCATCGATTGCAATAGAAAGAATGGAAAAAGATTTTGCGCAAATCTTCTCCTTGATGGTCACATGTCACCACGATTCGAATGTTGCACTATCGATAGTACATGAAAACGTTGACAACTGCTGATAGGCTCTCATATGATTTTACAGCACTATGTTGTTCGCCGATGTGCCCGTTGAACATGAGCCAAGTGAGAAAAGGTATAATTTACGAAAGATATCGTTACTCCATCGCTTTTCATAAATAAATTTTTCTCCAGCGCAAAAGAGATTGTCATTCGGAGTCGCAGATCATTGAAAACGGCAAAGAGCAGTTCAAATAGGTATCAGACTGTGAAGTCAAATACAGGGTGTCCCAAAAAAATTTGAACACTGTTTAATTGTTAATAACCCTCTTGCTTTTATGTCTTTCGCCCAGCATGAGGCACCATTCTATAGAGCGAGGTTTAACTTAGACTCATCATTACTGTAGGATCACGGTAGGAACTTCTAAAAGGATTTTAGGCCATTGGAGGCCATAATCTCCTCGAAACAAAACCAAACATGCCAAAAACGTTTACACTATGGTACTTTACTGTAATGCTTCTTTCCAAGGTTATCCCAGGTAAACCGTAATGACTGAATTTTTACCATTTGTCAAAAATGTGGCTACACTATCAAAAAAGCTACAAATACCCGTAAAAAGTTGTGTAAATCAGCGTGCGCGAAATCCCCAGTACACGATTTTTCAGATTTTTTGGAAAAAAGTTTGTCAGATGGCATATTTCACAATAGATTCACATGCTAGAAATTCATACCGTAATCCTACAGTAACGAACAGTAATCGGTGATTCGCTCCATACTACAAATCTAAGTTGGACCTTGCTCTACGGAATGGTGCCTCAAGCTCGGCAAAAGACATGAAAGCAACGGAGTTATTAACGATCAAACAGTGTTCACATTTTTTGGGACACCCTGTATAATTAGACTTTCTTGATCAATTTTATCGCTCGAATTGCTAAGCTTTTTTCGCATTAGCAGCCTCTGATTTGCACCTCCTACGGGTTTTTTTATAGATCGGCTGAAACTCAAGAGGATGAAAAATCAGGAGAACACTGGAAGCTAGAGTAAGTTTTAGGTCTTTTGTAAAGTTGTAGAAAATTCAATCATTTAGACAAGAAGAGTCTTGCAAAACTGCTAGCCCTCCCTCTGTGCGGTAAAATCCATTCATTCTTGGTTAATGGCTAATTGATGCCACTCTCATATTTCAGAATAATAAAGAAGAGCAAGGAAAAAGACTCTTATGCCGCAGCCTATGTGAAGCCACTAACCAGAAGAATCAAATCGTCTAAAAGCGGGAAAAGTTTAACGCAAATAAGGCGAGAAAGACGTTTGCTAAAAGAAGCAGAAGAAGCAGCTAAGAAAGATATGGAAAGAGGGTACGTCGACCAACGTAGAAATAAGTCAAGAGAAAGCCGCGAAAAACCAGACGATAGCATTGCTGCGTATAAATATCTATCTAAGAAGAAGTCAGCAGAGGGTGCGAAACCATATGAGTCGCGCAGCTCGAAGAGTAAGAAGAAAAAAAGAAAAAAGAGGTCTAAGAAAACGAAGAGAAGTGGTAGCTTCTGGAGCAGCTCTAAAAAAGACACTGAGAAGAAAAGGAAATCGAAATCCTCAAGAACTTTGAGAAACAAGAAAGAAAAAGAAGGTCCGCGGAAAAACTTCAAGAGCCTAAAAATTTCGAAAGAAGAGGCTAACGCTGAGATCAAAGAGAAAAGGAGGAGTTTGGAAAATTCGGATTCCACAAAAGGAAGCAATACCCGCAAGAAAGAAAGAAGTTCGAAAAAGTCATCGACTTTAGACGATATATTGCGCAATATCAGTCTAAGTCGCAAACATCGTGGTTCTAAAAGCGCTAGATCTTCACAGAAGAAAGAATCGCTCGTATACAACGAAAAATCCGGAAGGGAAAAACCTACCACAAATGGTGGTTTTCTGGAGAAGTTTGTGGAATCGCCAAAAAAGGAGCCTGTTGCGCAGTCGGCGGAGATCGTGAAACTTTCAAAACTACTGGAAGAACCAGAAGATAAATATTTTTCGAAAACTGAGAAATACCCCGGTGAGCCACTGCTATCAAAAGAAAGAAACGAAGACGAAAACAAAAGAAAGTCCAAAGAGATAGTAGAGGTTTTGGAAGGACTTGAGCCTCCCGTACAAGAAATAGCGAGCAAAGAAGAAGTATTATGGAAGAAGATATTAAAGGAATTTGCGGAAAGGTTGAAAGAAGAAGAGGGAATCTCGAGTCCTACCGGACAGTCGAAAAGTAAAAGAATGAAGAAAAGCCTGGAAGGTTTGAAACAGGAACTAGAAGTAAAGAAACGAACTAGCCGAGAAGAAACTGATAGAAGCAAACTTAGTACTGAAAAAGAAGAAAAGGAATCAAGTAAAAAGAGGAAATTAGCAAGCAAGATACGATCCAGCAGAAGTAATCCTAAAAGTGCAAAAATAACAAACTCACTAAGAGGAAGCTCGTCTTCGAGGAAAAAGAAGAAGTCAAAAAGCGAGAAATCTTCGTCCAAAAGGTCAGATGAGGAAGTACTCGGTGAGAGCCAAGAAGTAGTAGAAGCAAAAGAAGGATCAGAGAGGGACAAGAGCAGAGAAAAATCTAAAGATACTGGTCTCCTTGAACCCAAAATCAAGACGTCGCGCTCTAAAAGCTTGGAGGAACGCTCAGAAAAGGAAAGAGACGAGGATCCAAAGGAGGAACTCGTGGGATTGGACGGTCGAGAAATGTCTTTGAGTGAGAAGAAGTCAAAAAGCGAGAAAACAAGGTCAGCTAGCAAGGAATCCCAAAAAGGAAGTAAGGCTGACAAACCACTAAGCAGCAGCTCATCTTTGAGAAAGGAGTCAAAAAGCAGCGAGTCCTTGTCTGAAAAGGTAAAAAAGTCACATGAGAAGGCGCATGGAAGCAGCCAAGAAATAGCAAGTTCAAAAGAAAGCGAAATTAGACAGCAATCCAGGGACAAGGTTGCAAAACACTTTTGGCACAAAAACAGGAAGTCTACTAGTTCCAGGAGCTTAGAAGACTCTCTGAAAAGGGGTGCCGAGATCAGAAAGGACTCCGAAAAAGCATGTATAGCACACAAATCACTAAGCGAGGGCTCGTCTTCTAAGAAGAAGGAAAAGAAGAAAAAGAAAACACGAAGTAGAGAGTCCCTCTCACAAAAGGAGAGAAAATTGAACGAGAAAGATCAACCAAAAGAACAAGACAACAAAGGTACATCAGCGGAAGATGCCTCCGCAGGTGAAACAGGACAAAGAAATAATCAAGCGAAACACTCAAAAGAAGATTCTTGGAGCTTCTTTGATCTATGGAACTTTACAGCAAAAGAAATCGAAAGGCCAAATAAAGATACACCCTTAGTAAAGAAGACGGTAGAGGCTGCAGAGAAAAGCAAACGACATCCTCAAAATGATGTTTCAAAGAGCCTATCTAAAAGCATGAAGGATTCATCGAAGCAAAATGGCAAATTGAGCTTTCAGGAAAAAGAGGGAAAGAGAAATCAAAAAATACAGGATCATCAATCAATGAAATCAAATTCGGGATCATCTGAAAGCGTGAAAAATTCTCGTAAACCTCAGCAAAAGCAAAAAGACCTCGATGCAGACGTGCTGGTTGAAAGTGGCTTACATAACAAAAAAGAGAGTAATTCGAAGAAGAAGACGAAGAGAAAAGAGGAGGAAAAAAGTCTTAGCAAAAAGAAGCAAAGGGGGTAAGTCTAATTCCTTTGAGCTGTAGATGAATTCAGTTCCAAAATTATGTGAGGTAATATCTAATTATTGAACACCTCAACACAACACTTTTCCCTTTCAAACCTTCTTGGGTGTTTTTCACAGATATAATGTGCACAGACCGTATTTTTCTTTCCTTAGCACATCCGTATACGCTACCTAATTCTGCCCTCAGATTGAAATATTGAGTAGCATTCTTAGAAATCGCCTCAGTGTTTTCTTGGAATCTTAGCTACTAATCTGTGCACATCACTTATCAAATTACTTTCTTGACTAAGTCCTTGTGCGGTGTGATGAAAAACTGCCGCGCAAGCAGGAGGTAGTGGAGTTTCCTCTAGCACGGGAGTTTGCGAAATGAGTTGGGCATCTGTCGAAAGGCTCTCCTTATGCTACAGTTATGTGCAGGTGGTTTGTCTCTTACATAATTAATACAATTCTCGTAAATCTTTAAAAATCCAAATTAAGCTTGCAAATTTTTTTCGGCCAGTGCTATCACACCGCTGTATAAGTTCGGGTTATGGGCCTGCAAAAATTTTGTGAAGCGTCGAATGTAATTTTTCGGAGTGTGTGGTTGAACCCGCGCACCTTTATTCGAAAAATCTTTTTGTCCTCTCCCTCACCCCCCCCCCCCCCAAACTTAAGTTCTGGGGACGTCAACTGATCTATGGCTAAGTATGGGTATGATGCAGCAATTGTGAATGTAGCATTCGTTACATCCTTCCACACTCTTGCAAACAGTTATATGTTATCCTTGCGACCTAGCCCAGGAGATTTGAGAAGGTTACGAAAGTCTGTAACCCATATTTTTGCCGTGGTCGCAGTCTTGCACAATTCTATGCGCGCTCGCGAAGGTATTCAAGCCACACTTGAATAGAAAAAACCAGTAGCATAAAATTCTTATTGGTTTCTTTGTCAGCTCTTACCAATTTCGCAAATTGATTTTGCCGAAGTCATCCTCAACTGTCGAGGTCGGCGTTCAATGCCTTATTTTTAAACGCTGATTAGGCAACATTACGCGCTTATTCGCTTATGTGGTTTTTGAAAAATGCAACCATGAGCTTCTGGTGTTGAAAAAACCGAGGTTCATAGAGAAAAACACTCATACCTCAGTCATACTCTGGTATAAACTTCTTTTTAATTATTGATCAAAACGGGATGACAGGATTTATTAGCGCGTTATCGTGTAATGATCGTGAGAACATATAGGGCTTATCAAATTTAGTGCCGTTTGCACCAGCATCTCCATCTTCGCGCTGGACTCTGCGTCTCTTCTGCGGCACTTGTTCCCTAATCACTTCCAATCGATTGAGGCTCCATCTTTCCCACGCTCGCCCTGGGAAAGTGCTTAGAGAGCAGTCCCGCAGAAGAGACGCGGAGTCCAGCGCGAAGATGGAGATGCTGGCGCAAACGACACTCAATTTGATAAGCCCTATATGTTGCATGTATGAATGCAAACAATAATCATGAGCCATAAAAGCAGCCACGGTCTAGTCTGGTGTTGACAAAACCGAGGTTCATAAAGAAACCCTTATCTCCGTCATACTCTGGTGTAAATACCGTATCTCTGCTATACTCTGGTATAAATACCGATTAGAAGATGACTGAAAAATGATTTCATCAGCGCGTCATCGCGTAATATTGTGAGAAAGTTGCATAAATTTATTTATTTATACATTTCTTACAAAACACAAGCGTAATCACATAAAGTGCAGCCAACTTTGTTTGCGTATGAATGAAACAATAAACATGAGCAATTAATACCCCAGCACCAAACCACCGGGTTCTACACCAAAATAATGTTCGTTGACTTACGCTTATCAAAAGATTATCGTCATCAACCAGAACAAATATTATGGCACAGATATGAAACATTGGAGCTCGCATGAGCGAACGTTGTATGAGATCAACAATAAACATACTGTGGTAATACCAGTGTATCTATCTTATGAGGTGAACTTATGAGGTGAAAAGGACCTAAGAAAGCAGGGAAATTGCTAACACGAGTCATTCGTTCCAGACTAAAGGAATGTCAGTAGTATCATTGCATAGAAGCTAATGCAAGAAATTCTTATAATGTCCTTAAATGATGGCGAGTTAAACGAAACGCACAGAAACGGGCAAATTGTGTTGTAATTTGGCGAACACCGAGAAGTGTGGACAAAGCTTTATCAATGGTGATGACGAAACTCCCGTGAAGCTCATAATAAAGAAGAAAGCGGTTGGATAGTATGTGACAAGGAGCTGCGAGAGACTTTGAGCAGGATTAAGACAACAAGAGAATCGAATTGCTAGCTAAACACCGCTGAGGGAATCGGTAGTAAGACTGCTTTGGGATCGAAGTAGCATTTAAAGACGCTGAGCGTTTTCCATTTAACGGCTCGCAGCACCTCATCTTGTTCGACACCTAGGCTGAGAGAGCGAGAGAAGCTGCCCCACTTCTGAAAAGTGAGGGGCAAGGACCTGAACTGTTTCAGATTGCAGACTCGTTGAACCGATCCTTCAGAGTTGCATCAGAAGCCATTTTGAGACTGAAAGATGTAAACAACGCCGGCGAAACTCATCTACTTGCGCAGAATTGCCATTTCGGTCTTGGTCAGGAGAAACTTACCAAGGACTTCCTTGCTGTGTTAATCGCCTTGGACTTTAATTTTTGGGCTGTACATACCGCTCACAGAATGTGTTAAACGAATGTCGCGAATTCCGGGAATGTCACGAACTTTCGCGGAATTCCCGGGATTCCGCGACTCACGGAAATTTTGCACATTCTGCGGGCGATATTGTATACCTCCTTCCCACAGAAGTTAACTGCGTTGCTTGAAGTAACTCAGCTTCGCTGTTTCTCAAAAAGGTTTTGAATTAAAAAGCAAGCGCTGCCGTTTGTGTGGCCTTGTAGTCTAAGGCCCCGGACCGACTTCACGCGACTCAATCGTCGCGATCTAATCGCCAAGATTCCCATTCATTTTCATTTCACATTTAATTCGGGCTGGAAAAGTATCACAACCGAATGCAAGTGGATCGGCATGGTGTGATGTTGTAACAGTTGTCTCGTCGCGATTCAGTCGCGACGATCAAATCGCGTGAAGTCTGCCCGGGGCCTAAAGAGTCTAATCCTCGAGGCGCTGTATTGATTGTTGGTTGATTTTCGCCCGATGTGTAATGTCGGATAAAAATCATCCCGAAAATGCACATCTGCGTTTCGCTCCTAATTCAGCTGCTGGATGCCAGATCAAGATCAACGTCAACGGATCACAGAAGGAGACAGCGTTTAATACTGATAAAGACCTAATTTCACCCTCGCGTGCACATTGCACGTTGAAGGGAATAGTTGCTAAAGCGTTACTTCCAGGGCCCGGCACGAGGTGGGCAAATGACAAGCTGAAAGTCGTTTTTGTGGAAAAAGCAAGGGGGAAATCGTTTTTGCGGGGTCGATAGCGGAGCCCCGGAAGAAGATTCCAAGTGCAAGCAAAAAAAGGTCGAATCATGCTCATTACCTTATACATCTAATTCATTAAGAAGTGGTTTTCGGCCTCAACGCACAGCGAGTTCGCGCGCTACGCCGCGCTGCCGCTTTTGCCGCGTGCGCGACATCGCATAAGCGATGCCGTTGAACAGCATGATTACATGATCAGTTCTCAATGCAGGCGTAACGATATAGCACCAAATTATGTAAGCGAACGAAGGGCCAGTAGAAAAAAAAGTATGAAATATTATGAAAAACTTATGTGAATGGCAGGAATAATAAGCATTTTTTCCAAAAATTTTGCAAAACTGGTAAATGAAGATGTGAATGCAAATGGCTCGTTTGCAGCGCACAGATGACCATACGGTATGGGACTTGATAGATACATGAACACAGGCCTGCAGGGCTTAACTTAGAAGTTTCATTGAAAAATTATGTGACTAAAGGTTGTGGCAAGCTTTTTCTAAAAATTTCCCCCTACCAAGAAAATTGAAAAATGGTTCGATTGCAGCGCAGAGAAAACGAAATCGCACTAGACTTGGTGTGTATACGCGCAGTAGGACTAAGGAACAATTTAGGAAAATTATGAAAAACTTATGTGAATGAAGAGCGTGCTCAACTTTTTTCTAAATTAGGTGGGCAATAGCCCACCTGATGCCCACCTGAGGTGGGCAAAACTTTCAATTCACATAATTTTTTTCAAAATTCTTACATAAATCTGTTGTACACCTAAAGTTTACTACATGGTGGAATTTTGGTTCCGAAACTCCTCCTCTTGTCCTTGTTAGAGCCCAAAATCGCATCAGCAGCCTAGCT